CCGTTTATGAAAGCACTTCCTGGGGGCTAGAGGAGGGAAGAGAGGGAGAAGAAATTGTCAAAAAAATTGACATTGATTGTATTGTATGGGGGAAGTAATGTGGCATGATTAGATATGTGATTATTATGTGATTCTAGGTTTTAATTTCAGAGTGTCTCATTTCACATTGTTATGATGTTTTTAATAAACTTGAATCTTGAATCTACAGTTGGTTTACCTTCCAGGTGACACGGATGCTCTGTGAGGTCATAGGCTGGAGGATAACCTCCATAGGAGGACCATCAGGCTCTGGAGGGAGGAAAAGAGAGATAGTCAATATTTTTCAGTGCAGTCAAAGCTCATCTCATCGATATCTGTTTGTGTGTGTGCGTGGGTGTAGCGTGTGTGTGCGTGTGTGTGTGTTTGTGTGGTTGTGTTAGACTCACGTGCTTCCTCTGTGCTGATGGTGAGCTCCTTGCTGGCTTGACTGTGTCCAATCTTGTTGTAAGAGAACATGCGGATGCTGTAGACTTGGGCAGGGTGTAGATCCACGATGTTAGCCTGGTTATTGGTGGGAGAGATCTTACGGGTGGCATGCTTCAACTCCCACGGATCTGTGTGTGTTTATGAGTGTGTGTGTAAGAGAGAGAGTGAGTGTGTGTGTGTGTGTGTATATATATGTATGTGTGTGTGTGTGTGTGTGTGTATGTGTGTTTGTATGAGTGTGTGTGAGAGAGAAAGAGAGACAGATCGCACGCATGTGTGTATGCAGGTTCATGTGTTCATATTTGCGTGTGTGTGTGCGTGTGTGTGTGTGTGTGTGTGGGTGTGTGCACACAAAAGAGAGAAGACGCATTAGTCGGTTATAGTTCTCAGTACCAACTAATAGTTAATCCCCAGTTTAACCCCCGCTGTCCGCTGGCATACCAGTCTTGTTCTTGTACTCGATGTCGTAGCTGGTGATGATGCTGTTGCCATCAAATCTCTGGGTCCAGCGCAGGTTCATACTCCGATCCTTCACCTCCCTCACCTCCAACTCTGGAGGGTCTGGGGGCTCTGAGAGAGAAAGAGGGAGAGAAAGAAATGAAGCCAGAAAGGTGTAAGGGAGAAAGATACACTCTTAGGAGAACACTTTTTAGTTCCAGGTAGAATCCTTTTTAGTTCCAGGTAGAATCCTTTTTAGTTCCAGGTAGAATCATTTTGGGTTCCATGTAGAACCCTTTTTACAGAGGGTTCTACATGGAACCCAAAATGATTCTACCTGGAACTAAAAAGGATTGGGTTCTTCGAAGGGTTCCCCTATGAGGACAGTCGAACAACCCTTTAGGTTCTACATAGCAAAAATAATTCTAAGCATGTAGAGGGAATGGAACATAAGCATAGTGTGAAAGAAAGTGATCCTGTACTGAATTTTTCTCTCTCCAGATTCATGTCACACTAAGCAGATAGTTATACAGGGGTATATTCACTAGGCACCAAACGGAAGAAAACAGACTGAAACAGGGATGATTAACTGAACTTAATTTTCCATTGCAAAACACTTTGCTACAGTGTGCGCTAATGAATGTGACCCAAGTATTTCCATCGGGTGATTGTGTTGTGGTCTAACCCACTGACCTTGAACAGTGAGCTGGATGAGTCCCCGGCCCTCTCCATATGAGTTTATGGAATGGCAGGAGAAGAAGACCGAGTCACCACGCTCTGCTGGCTTCAGCTACACACACACACACACACACACACACACACACACACACACACAGTGAGCGAGAGAGAGACTAGAGAGGAGATGAGGAGAGAGAGAGAGAGGACGAGTAGAGAGAGAGAGGAGAGAGAGAGAGAGAGAGAGAGAGAGAGAGAGAGAGAGAGAGAGAGAGAGAGAGAGAGAGAGAGAGGACAGTATGTAAAGCCACCTCCATACATATCTCATATGATCGCATATCCTCCATTTGGTGTATCTGATGTGTGTGTGTGTGTCAGTCTGTATGTTTATGTGTGTGTATATGTCTACAGTATATCTGTGTGACACCTTCAGCGTAGACAATACTTCGTCACTCTTCTCGTTGGGGCTGGTGGTGATGGCGTAGCGAGGGTTACGGTCTGGGTCGATGACTGTGTCACCACGCTCCCAACGGATGATGATAGGCCATTCCCCCCTCGCTGTGCAGTTCAGCTCCTTAACCTGTCCCTTAATGGCCATGGTGGTGTTGGGGTGCGACGTGATCATTGCTGGGACTGGAGAGAGAGGGAGGGAGGGAAGAATGATGGTGGGATGAAGGGATGGATGGAAGGAGGGACGAGGAAAGTAGGGGAAATAATGGGACAGAGTTACAGGCAGAGTTGGAGTTATACATGAGTTTCCACCAAAACATAACAATCAACTTTCGCACTAAGAACATCATAAAGGAGGGCTGAAATGACTGATTTAGCCTCGGTTTCAATCCTCCTCATTAGGAAATGCGACTGAGAATGAGATTTAAATTGAAACAGTCAAGTCTTGTGTCTGGAATTAGCCTTGGCTAGCTAGCAAGCTAGTCAACTTCATTTTCCAATTAGCTTCAGATGGCTAGTGTGCCACCGATGGTTTGACTTTGGACAGCCTATCTCTGGGGCTAGTTAGGGACCGTCAATATATTCCACAATGTAAATAGACAATATTTTCATGTTGCACACCTTTTAGTTCTATCATTAATTAAATGCTTTCAATGTTTGTATATGAATTTCTACAATTTATAGTTGGTTTGAGGTTTTTAAGTCATTGACATTTTGAGCTATTTAACTTTTTAAATATTGTCCCATGTACATTGTGTAATTTAGTTTTTCAATTGAGTCACTCTGTAGCCCTTTCCTGCAGTCAAATGACCTAGTGGCCTCATGGGTAATATTTTGAATATATATATTTTTTTAAATAAGCCCAAAATCTGGTGTTTCTATGTCAAACGGTTTATTTATATTTCAGTCTTCTATGATGTATATAAAGTGTAATATTGGGATGCAAACTCAAAATTGAATACATTTCAACTCTTTATCTGACATGGTACAGGTGTCTTATTTTTTTTACGCCCATAACCATGTGTGTGAGGTGTATACTTTCGTTTCTAAGTAGATTTGGTTAAGACTACCAATAATCACTCTGTGTGACCCTGATTTAGCCCACTGCACTAAAAGATTAAGTCCATTAGGCAATGGAGGAACAATGATCTTAGTGCTAAAGATGATCTTTATATTTTGGGAAACTCATCTCTGTATGATAAAGTAGCATCACAGTAAAATAGAACTATGGTCAATGATAAGAACTACATGCCTTCCTCTCTCGTACTCTGTTTAGTGGGGACTGTGTGAATGATCACCCGGAAGATTGTTCACTCTACCTATCCCTCTCTCTACCTTTTCAATCACTCACACCATCCTCTTCAGCTCCTCCCTTAATCCTCACACACACGCACGCACACACACACAATCAATCTGAGGAGAGTTTCACTGTTTGGTTTTCATCACTTATTAATCTCTCTCTCCCACTTTCCTCCCTCTCTCCTTTACTCCCTCTCTCTGCCCAGCGAAACTGACAGAATTGAGGGAGGCAGAGGAGAGGAACGGTTCAATCAATAACACTAACACCGTCTCAGAATGTCTCAGAGAGAGAGTGAGAGAGAGAGAGAGAGAGAGAGAGAGAGAGAGAGAGAGAGAGAGAGAGAGAGAGAGAGAGAGAGAGAGAGAGAGAGAGAGAGAGAGAGAGAGAGAGAGAGAGAGAGAGAGACAGAGACAGAGACAGAGACAGAGACAGAGAGAGAGACACATACACAGCAAGTGAGCGAAGGAGAGGAGAGAGCTAGAGCAAAAACGAGTGAGAGCAAGATAAAGTAAGGTAGTGAGTGAGTGAGAAATGTCTCTGTTGTCTGTAAGGTTGCTGCAGGAGGACAGTCTGCTATTTACGGCTAGACACAGGCCAGAGGCGTCAGAGGCTAACATACACGATAAGACCAGTTTATCAACACCACGAGGGCAAAGGTGTGTGTGTGTGTTTAGATGCTGATGTATCTGAAGGCCAGTGCAGGGTCGACAGATTGATTGCAGATGATTAAGGACAAAGTGTTTTTTGAAGACTGATCCCTAGAGTCATAAAATCAATCTCTCTCTCTCTGTCTCTCTCTCTCTCTCTGTCTCTCTCGCTCTTGATCTGTATAGTATCATCAGTCTATCCATGGTCACTCTCTCTGTGTGTCAGTATACTGTAGCTAGCTATGGTAGTGTTATCAGAGTCGCCTCTTTGCTTTGACACACTGAGTGATTCATGAGAGAGAGGACAGATCGACTGGACAGCAGTGGAGAAGGTGGAATGTTTTAAGTTCCTCGGCGTACATATCACTGACAAACTGAAATGGTCCACCCACATAGACAGTGTAGTGAAGAAGGCGCAACAGCGTCTCTTCAACCTCAGGAGGCTGAAGACATTTTGCCTGTCACCTAAAACCCTCACAAACTTTTACAGATGCACAATTGAGAGCATCCTGTCGGGCTGTATCACCACCTGGTACGGCAACTGCACAGCCCACAACCGCAGGGCTCTCCAGAAGGTGGTGCAGTCAGCACAACGCATCACCGGGGGCAAACTACCCACCCTCCAAGACACCTTCAGCACCCGATGTCACAGGAAGGCCAAAAAGATAATCAAGGACAATTACCACCCGAGCTACTGCCTGTTCACCCCGCTATCATCCAGAAGGCGAGGACAGTACAGGTGCATCAAAGCTGGGACCGAGAGACTGAAAAACAACTTCTATCTCAAGGCCATCAGACTGTTAAACAGCCATCACTAGCACAGAGAGGCTGCTGCCTACATACAGACTTGAAAATCACTGGCCACTTTAATAAATGGAACACTAGTCACTTTAATAATGCCACTTTAATGTTTACATATCTTGCATTACCAATCTCATATGTACAGTGAGGGAAAAAAGTATTTGATCCCCTGCTGATTTTGTACGTTTGCCCACTGACAAAGAAATGATCAGTCTATAATTTTAATGGTAGGTTTATTTGAACAGTGAGAGACAGAATAACAACAAAATAATCCAGAAAAACGCATGTCAAAAATGTTATAAATTGATTTGCATTTTAATGATGGAAATAGTATTTTACCCCCTCTCAATCAGAAAGATTTCTGGCTCCCAGGGTTGTATTTTATACAGGTAATGAGCTAAGATTAGGAGCACACTCTTACAGGGAGTGCTCCTAATCTCAGCTTGTTACCTGTATAAAAGACACCTGTCCACAGAAGCAATCAATCAATCAGATTCCAAACTCTCCACCATGGCCAAGACCAAAGAGCTCTCCAAGGATGTCAGGGACAAGATTGTAGACCTACACAAGGCTGGAATGGGCTACAAGACCATCGCCAAGCAGCTTGGTGAGAAGGTGACAACAGTTGGTGCGATTATTCGCAAATGGAAGAAACACAAAATAACTGTCAATCTCCCTCGGCCTGGGGCTCCATGCAAGATCTCACCTCTTGGAGTTGCAATGATCATGAGAACGGTGAGGAATCAACCCAGAACTACACGGGAGGATCTTGTCAATGATCTCAAGGCAGCTGGGACCATAGTCACCAAGAAAACAATTGGTAACACACTACGCCATGAAGGACTGAAATCCTGCAGCGCCCGCAAGGTCCCCCTGCTCAAGAAAGCACATATACAGGCCAGTCTGAAGTTTGCCAATGAACATCTGAATGATTCAGAGGAGAACTGGGTGAAAGTGTTGTGGTCAGATGAGACCAAAATCGAGCTCTTTGGCATCAACTCAACTTGCCGTGTTTGGAGGAGGAGGAATGCTGCCTAAGACCCCAAGAACACCATCCCCACCGTCAAACATGGAGGTGGAAACATTATGCTTTGGGGGTGTTTTTCTGCTAAGGGGACAGGACAACTTCACCGCATCAAAGGGACGATGGACGGGGCAATGTACTGTCAAATCTTGGGTGAGAACCTCCTTCCCTCAGCCAGGGCATTGAAAATGGGTCGTGGATGGGTATTCCAGCATGACAATGACCCGAAACACACGGCCAAGGCAACAAAGGAGTGGCTCAAGAAGAAGCACATTAAGGTCCTGGAGTGGCCTAGCCAGTCTCCAGACATTAATCCCATAGAATATCTGTGGAGTGATCTGAAGGTTTGAGTTGCCAAACCTCAGCCTCAAAACCTTAATGACTTGGAGAAGATCTGCAAAGAGGAGTGGGACAAAATCCCTCCTGAGATGTGTGCAAACCTGGTGGCCAACTACAAGAAATGTCTGACCTCTGTGATTGGCAACAAGGGTTTTGCCACCAAGTACTAAGTCATGTTTTGCAGAGGGGTCAAATACATATTTCCCTCATTAAAATGCAAATCAATTCAATAACATTTTTGACATGGGTTTTTCTGGATTTTTTTGTTGTTATTCTGTCTCTCACTGTTCAAATAAACCTAACATTAAAATGATAGACTGATCATGTCTTTGTCAGTGGGCAAACGTATAAAATCAGCAGGGAATCAAATACTTTTTTTCCCTCACTGTATATATACTATACTATCTTTGTCACGGTTTCGGCCGAGGCTGCTCCTCCTCCTTGTTCGGGCAGGTTTCGGCGGTCGTCGTCCCCGGAGTACTAGCTGCCACCGATCTATGTTTCATGTTCGTTTGGTTTTGTCTTGATGTTGTACACCTGTGTCTAGTTAGTCCTCATTAGTGTCCTATTTAGTTCTCGTTGTGTGTGTATGGTGTTGTGTGTGATTGCTCTTCTGTTTTGGTGTTCTGAGCTACGTACTTCCCTCCGTTGTTTGGAGAGGTTTTCGCACATGTTCGTGCGCCTTTTGTTTGACGCTTGTGTGCGCCTTTATTTCGCCTCCGGGCTTATTGTGCTCGTGTACTACGTGAATAATTCACTAAAGTCTTTTGGACTTAGCTTCTGCGTCCTGCGCTTGATTCCTGCACCACACCCACCTTCAGCACCCCTGACAGAATCACACACCTTTAAGAATGGAATCAGCAGGAGCAACAGTCACGCCTGAGTCGCTGGAGGAGCATGTCCGCGGCCAGGATGACCAGATACGACAACTGGGGACCGCTCTACAGGACGTCATCAACACCCTGCACCGATGGGAGTCCAGAGGGGTACCCACACCTTCACCTACCCTGCCACCCCCATCGGCCGGTCCACCAGTCCCAGGTCCGGAACCCAGTGGGATTCGGCTCTCGCT